CTTCATGGGTAACTGGTCCACACATGTTGGGCAGGCCATACTGGCATGTGAGTGTGTGTTTATTCCTTCACTGTTAAGTAAATTCTCTTTCTTTTGTACATGATACTAGTCTTTGCTTAGTATTTCTCTGCAGGAGGCAAGAAATTGGATTAAGTATACATATATATTTATATATATAACAGTATATTGCCTTATATATTATCAAATTATGTTTGTATATAACATATTTAATATTTATATATGTGGGCAAGCGACAGAGATTTATCAGGTCTGCATGGGGGTTTAACCAGGAAGTAGCCTTGCTATAGGGACCTCAGTTTATGCAGCCATCCTCTTCTAGTTGTTCAGTGCTACATCCTTCTGGATTCTAGACTGCAGACAGACATTCCCTTGATCTTTGCAACTATGGTCATACATTCTTTCTGTAGCACATTGAGTCTTTAGATTGTCATCAAAGCAGAAAATAATCCACATCATGTGGTTCTGGAAAACTAATCAAGTTTCCACAGAATTTGGAAACCATTTCACCTTTTTTTAAAGTTTGTTGGTGCAGTGAGAATGTTGTCTGTTGTTCACTCTCTCTTTGATGAAAATAACTCAAGGAGACCTAGAGAAGACAGAAACTTCCAGAGTGGCCATCAGCTTTCTGCAGAAGCAACAGTCCCAAACCCAATGCCATGGTCATCACTGATCATGGGAGTCCCCTTATGTGGAGCTAGGTCTCTTCCTGCTTCCTTGGTAGTCACATTTTCTTCAGAGTGATTTTTAGACTTGTAATCAGAGTAGTTTCTGTATTTTGCTAGGGGAGAGAGAGAGCCCCAGGTCCTGGATGCCTCATGGGGCAGACATGAAGGTTGAGTCTCTGTTCGCTGCCTTGACTGTGCTCTCCATAACTGAAGCTGATGTGCCAGACAGTGGACTCCCCCTGCCACGTGCATTTGGAATGAGTCCTAGTTCTTTAACTGTAACAAGTTGCTTTTCTCTCATTGAAATATGAAAAGAATTTTATCTATTTTAAAGACATTATAATTTTATTTATGTAATTTTTGTGCTTACAGTTATTAACATGTCATTTTGATCACAAAACCCTTAAAGTCAGATATGGTAAATAACACACCACATGTTGGAGTCTTACATTGGATTCTTACATTGTTAAAGCACAGGGTGCATCAAGGAGAAAAAATTCTATTCTCAAGAGACACACAGGCCGGAGAAGAAAACATGGCCATTTCCCAGTGGTTCTCAGTTCTCTAACACCACCTGTGTGTCCTACAGTTCCACTTAATTCTGATGCTTAGAAGCCTGGTGTTATCATGGACCCCAGAAATAAGGGAATTGGCCTCAAAACACTGCCTCCATTTCAGGCACCAGCCACAGATGAGGTCACCTTGTGAAGGTCCTCACATGTGCCTTGCTGAGATTTGATAATTGCCTAGGAACTCACAAAAGTCTTAAACTTGGGAGTTTGGTTCATTATACAGGCTCCAAACCAATAACCAAGTGGACAAAGCTCTGAAGGGTCCCACACCCGAGGATTTCTGGCCATTGGAGCTTGAGTGTGCTATCCTCCTGATGCATGCACATGTTCACCTGCCCCCAGTGACTCCCTGGTAAGTTCATTATTCAGAAGAGTTTGGGAACATTATTGCATGGGCATGATTCATGAAATCATTGGCCACTGGTGATTAAACTCAAATTCTGAAAGTTCCAACCTTCTAGTCTCCTCAGTTTGCCAGCACTTCTCTTGAAATGATTTGAAAGCCTACTTTGAGTCACACCTCATGAGCCATTAGTTAACTCAGGGATGATAGCAAAGGACTCCTTATGAATAACAGCCTATCCTCCTATCATTTAGGAAATCCCAAAGATTTCTAGAGCACGGTTCAAAGACCAAATACATGTATTTTCTTGTTGTTGTTATACCACAAGTTCCCAAAGCAGGAAGACTATGGCACTATCTCCACACGGAGTAATATTTCAAGGAGAAATGAAATCTAGAAGTTTGAAGGTCTCTCTAAGGCATAATAGCTACTGACAAATGGGGGTTTTTTGGCCCTGAAGGGATGCTATTTAAGGACCCAGAACACCTTCCCACCAAGTGCAAGGGTTTTTCTCTTTTCTCTTTTTCATGGGGTGTAAGGGAGGCAACTGCCTCTTTCTCCTGTATAAAAAGAGGAAATCTACTTGCCTCCGTTCCTCATTGGTGATAAGATATTGATGTTTGTACAGGATTTGACTTTCGTTGCATTGCCCAGGAGGGGAAGCATGTTATCACTATAATATATGAATGGTAATGAGCTGTTTCTGATCTAAACACCCTGTGAAGATGAATATGAAAAGTCCAGCAGAGAGCAAAAGAGACCTGGCTCATTTTTGGACATACACACATTATTGAAATTGAAAGACAATGTGTTGAGGAACAAGACAAGAGGGTTGCGATTGATGCTCAGAAATGCCACCATGTGAGGACACAAAATATGAACAGAGGAACAGAGACTAAGGAAAGACAGAGAGGAGGGGCAGCCAGGGAAAATGGAAAGCCAGGGGAGATGATGTTATGGAATTTACAAGGTTAGTTCAAGAAGGGAATGTGGTCAACAAGAGAAACTGAAATGTGTCTACTGAAAACATCCTTGATTGAATCTTCACGAAGAGCTGCCTTGGTGATCTTTCTGAAAACCAGAGCTGATATATTTATTAAACTGAAAGGTAGGGAAGATAAGTATCCAAACGGTGACTTGATTGCATCACTAACCACATAGCATGTTCTGTGTTGCAAGGATTTAAATCTTTCTCATGACTGAGTGCAGCCTTTACAAAGTTTTCTTAGCTCCCTTTACCTGGAATGTTAGGAACCTACCCTGTCCTTATACAACATTCCAAAAGTGGTTGTTAGTGACTGCAAAATGGTTTCTTGCTTCAATGTGTCATGATTTTTTTTTTTAGCCATTCTCTTGGCTGACCATTTTCTGACATTTAGACAGTTTTCAATTTTCCTACTATATATAATTTTCCCCTCTATCCTTGTAGATAACTTTTTAGCCATACTATTTCCTTAGGGTAGATTCCTAAAATAACATCATATTTTTACATTCTTATTCGATTGTACAGCAGATTTTCATAAGAGTTGTAAATCACAGTGTCCTGACAGACAAGTTCAGAGATACATGAGAAAGCTGTAGTGGCAGATGCTTTTAAAAATCACTAAGGAGAAGTCAAGAGGTAAATCAGGTATTGGACAGAAGGGGTTCATGTGCTGGGAGGCGATATCGATTAAGCAGCCTTTCCAAGAGCTGCTCAAAGGAAAGCTTTCCTGGCATTCAAGGAGTACATGGGGAAGGCAGAGTTCCCTAAGGAAACTGCCTTCCTGGGAAGTGATTTGCCAGGGGTCTACAGCCAGGATGGTAATCTAGCTGGCTCTGATGTCCTGGAACATCCTCCGCCAGTCAACTGTTTCAGATTTTCTACTCTTGGACCCTCCTTTGGCCCAGATCCTACACTTATAAATTTAGCAGAGAATACAGATGCTGGGCATATGCAGAACCTCAGTGATTTAGTCTTTAAACCAAAGACAGGTTTGATTGATCACACAATTTTTTTAAAAAGTTGCAAAATGCAAATGGGTGCAATTACAGAACTGACAATCCCTGAGCACACAAGTTTTATGCCTGAACTTTAGGGTTCCCATTCTCACAGAAATGAAGTGAATTGCAAAACTAAAGTGTTTGAGGCAGTTTGATATATTGCAGAAAATAAATGCATTTGATCTAATGTCAATAGAAGGATAAGGTCAAAAGATTATCACTGACATGACAGACAAGAGTTTCCCCTAAGAACTGTAAGAAAATGTTAATATTATGGAATTTCATCTTCATTGGCTTTGGGTCCTGATTCCAGCTTCCCATCAGCTCAGACCCCCTCATGGGAGGAGACCTGGGTTAGTTTCCTGGCTTCCACCCCAATCCAGACCCGGCTGTTACAGGCATTTGGGAGAGAGAGCTAAGCCATAAATAGAGCTCTTTTTCTGTCTTCCACCCAAATAAATAAAAATTCTAAAATGTGCTTGTTTCTCGTAAGTTTACAGTCAAGTGGGATAGATATATGAATACAATTAAAAGGTACTATAAATGCCATAGGAAATGGGCTAAGTACTGGGGAAAGAGAAGAAAAATGATGAAAGCTCCCTAAATGACAGAAAAGGCACTGAAGCTGATGTTTGCACTCAGTGTGAGCAAATACGGATGGTCCCATGTAGGGGGGTGTTGGAGTGGCCCAGGTAGTGAGCAGGAGTAACAGGCAAAGAAGCATGGGCTCCCTGGTCCACGTGGAGTGGGAGAACACAGTGTATGGGGAGAGTGACAAGAGCCGAGATCAAAGAAATGGGTGGTTTCCGGGTTATAGAGGAACTTAAAAGACTATAAGCAATAGGGGGGTGGGGGGGCAGTTAGGAACTTTACACAAAGTTGAGTGAAATAGTAAGTGATTATTGTAATAACTTGTGACATTAAATCTTGAATTTAGGAAGTGGTGGAAGGGACAGTAAAAGGAAAACAGACTTGACAGCACATTGATGGACTTGACAGAGGAGGTAGGAAATAGATACTCTTCCTCCAGCTCAAACCTTGAAGTCTTGGGGCAGCTGAACACACAAGTAAAGGAGATACAAAGTGGCATAGGAAGACAAGGCTTCCTGTAGTTTCCACTTTTCTGAAAGGAATCAGGGACAGGCTTTTGGCCCCATGGTTAGGAGGCTGGTTAGGGTGCCATGCGCTATCCTGGAGTGCCTGGGTTCAAGGGCCACTACTGACTCCAGCCACCTGCTGGTGTGACCTCTAGAGAGCAGTGCTGACTCAGGTGCCCACGTGGGTCTCTAGCTCCAGGGGTTAGGCACAAGTGTGGGGACTAGAGTGGGCACAGTGGGAATACATCAGCAGATGGGAGCCCTGTCTGTCTGCCTTGTCTCATCTTATCTCACAAAGTTTAAGAATAATCATTTAGCATTAAGGGCATTAACATCATTTTATTTAAAATGTGAAAATATAACAAATGCATATAAAACTTAAGATTGAAACCTCCAATGTTTAAAGTCTAGCTTTATAAGTGTACATAAATTCCATTGATACAATATTCATAGGTGGCCTAAATATAAATATTATTAATCCTGAAAAAGGATTGCGCTGCAGGCGAATACAATACATTCTGTCACTGCCGGAAAGCACAGGAATCTCATGTTCAGTATTGTCTCTCTGGCACCCACTCTTCTCCCCAGGAGAATGACGTGGGGAAAATTATGGGAATCTCACTGCTGTTTGCACAGTGATTGCGGAAATGGCCGCATAATCTACTCATGATGACCAGCAGGATGTGAGGAGACATCTGCCGGGAGAATCTAAAAATGACTTTAAGTTGAAGGAGACACAGAAATAGCTGTTCAGCTTCTGCCCTGGGTTGCTGTCATGCCTGAATGGGTCTGTGAGACAGCTACACAGCCAGCCTGCTGCCAGCTTGGGAATTAAGCCAACACCAAACAGAGCAGAGCACCAAGAGGGAAAGGACCTTGTGCTTGGGGCCACCTAGCTGCTGGGCTCTCCTTACTTGGACACAAGATGATAAGCTTCCTTCTGACTTAATCCAATGAACCACGGCTTTCTGTTACTTGCAGCCAGTACTTCCCAACTGAGACAAGAACTAAAAGTGGAAGAAAGGTGATAGATGGCTCTTGTGTATTGGATGTTCTCTCTAAATTTCTCCCTCTGATAGATCAATCTTATCAGCAGTCATATTTTAACTTCGTTTCAAACCATCACACCTCATCATCTGTGCTGTCTCATGACTACTGCTGACACAGGCAGGACAGAGCAGAGGAGCAGTAGCTGTGCCTGGCTCTCTGTTTAGGGACAGATTGATAGTTTCAAGATAATGACTCTAAACTTTATCCTGTGGGACACCATAAATACGTCACATGAAGTGAAGAATCTGACATCTTCCAGTGAATTTTTTTTTTTAAATGAAAAACACCTAATCTTTTTTTTAAACTAATAAGAAATCCCTTTACTTACTTGCCTCCTGGCTGTATTGGGTGCACTTGTATATTTTTTATAACCTCAAATAAAAATAGCACATGCAAAGTGCTGAGTGTTATTAGCAGCAGTGTTCTACTTAGAGAGTGTTCTAGATTTAGGGAGCCTAAATCTAGCACTAAGAGTGTCCCAAGGACCCAGAAGCTCCCTCGGGTTGGTTTGTAATCCCTCTGCTCATCTTCCTCTAGCTTGAGTTTTGCTTGCTTTTATCGATGCATTTGACCACATTCAGTCTTAAGGTTGATGTATGCCTTTCATCATCAGATGCAAGCGGCAACCTTGGCATTTCTTATCACAAAAAACCCATATGAGAAAGGTGGCAAGCCCAGTGAACTTCCTGGGCGCAGAGGTTTTTCTATCAAAGTTGGGAAGGTTTGGTCATCCACCATCTTCAGAGTTTGTCCATTGAGTTGGATGGATCTGCAAAGAGGAAAGACAGGAGCAAGTTAGCCAAAACCTGTGAGCCCTGTGACTCCCTACAAAAGTCCAGAAATTAATTTTAGAATCATACTTTTCTTTGTGTGGCCTATATGATGTAACTAGTATTTCAACACCATGCCAGATACATATGGGACTTATGTAATCTTTAAACTATACTCATAGCATGCAGTGATTGGAACAGAAACCACGTGCCCCACAGCACCTGACATAGTCCCAGCCTTTTCAGGGAAAAAAACACAAGTCACCCATCAAAGGTGCCAGGATGGCAGGATTAAAAAGCAGAAGCATAGGCTAATTTCTGGAGCTGTGGTCATTTTATTGACACATAATAAAAAAAATTTTATAAAGTTGGAATTCTGGCGTAACATAACAGTTAAGCCACACCTGCAGTGCTGGTGCCTATTCAAATCTTAGCTGTTCCATTTCTGATCCAGCTTTCTGTTAATGAACCTGGGTAAGCAGCAGAGACCGACTCGCAGTCCTTGGATCCCTGGTGAAGCTCCTAGCTCCTGGTTCAAGCCTTGCCTAACCCTAGCTGTTGCAGCCATTTGGGGAGTGAACCAGCACATGGAAGATCTCTCCTCTCTCTTGGTAACTCTGCTTTTCCAATAAATCAAATAAAGTGTGAAGCAAATAAGATATATGTAGAATGTCACATGAATTTTTGTGGACATTAATCTAACACAAAATGGCAGTCAGTGGGGTTTTTTTTTTCATCTGTAGAAACACCCATAAATCTCTCCCATAGGAGGTATGTTAAGTTATTAAGATATTTTGGTAGAATGCATATTGATGGTGTGAGATAAATATAATTTTGTTTTGCAAAACCACAGAAAAATTTGTTTCCTGCATATTCAACAATTGGAACACAAATTCAAAAGGGAAAAGAAAATGTAAGATAATGTTACCATTTCTTTATATATATATTTGTAAATTTGAGAGACAGAGGGTGAGAGAGATGGAGACAGAGAGAGTGATCATCCACCAGTTCATTCCCCAAACGCTTGCAACAGCCAGGCCTGCACTGGTCGCGACCTGGGAGCTGGTCCTCAGATGTCTGGTGGGATCAATTGTCTAAGTCTTCCTTGCTGCCACCCAGGGTCTACTCTGACAGGATGCTGGAATCTGGAATGGATCTCGGATGTGAGGAGCAGGCATCCTAACCACTAGGTCAAATGCCCACTACTAAGTGTGATTCCTTACATGTATTTATTATCATTTCAGCCAAATCAATGCAAGCTAATGACAGTAAATCCAATATGGGCAAGAGTTCATGGAGAAAAGCTTTCATCCCACTGACAGTTATTTCCATAATTCTAAATAATACTTATATCTTTATGTTTTTCTCAAATGGTTTTTAAAAAGGTTTACATTTTTTATTGCTGAAAACATGGATGCTTAGTATCAGGGCTAAGTGTGTGATATATGACATTTGTATAATATCAGCAGAACACTTGTCCACAACAAGCACTATACAAATATTGTCTGTCATCATCATCATTGTTCAGATAAATTTAAGAAGCATAACCTGTTAAGTGACAATTTTTAGTATTTTGATGTATATCCATTCCTTCATCTCTTTTCTGTGCCTATACACAATTTTTTACTTAAACAAAATAGGTGTGCTACACATATATTTTGAAAAGACCTAATTTATTTATTTGAAGGTGGAGTGACAGAGGGAGAGAAAGAAATCTTCATCTGTTGGTTCATCTGCCCACATGGCCACAGTGGCCAGGGTTGGGCCAGGCAAAAGCCAGTATCTGAGAACTGAAGGTCTCCCATGTGGGCAATGGGTGCCCACGTGTTCTGGCCATCTTCCACCGTTTTCCCAGGCACATTAGCAGGGAAAGCTGGATCAGAAGTGGAGCAGCTAGAACTTAAACAAGTGCCCATATGTGATGTTGGGACTGCAAACAGTGGCTTAACCTGCCCTACCACAGTACTGCCCCCAATATATTTTCTTAAAATCTTATTCTTTATCCCTGAAAACAGCTTCACCATTCCTCACACTATTAAGCATACTCACTACATCATTTTAATGGTAGCACAGGATTTCATAATGTAAGTGTATTAGTTTATTGACCTAATCTTCTAATATATGGTATTTTGTGTCTGTGCAGCATTATTATATGCCTTTCATCCTTAAAGATCTCTTACAGCTGGTCCTCACTACATATCAGGAAGCAGAGAAACTGGTTTCCTTTAGCCTTGGTTAGCTGCTCAGCTTTTGGGTTCCGTAACATAAGACACAAAAATACCACACCCAGAAGCTAACAGGCCTGCATTGTTATTATACTCAGAACCACATATGTCAGCTCTTTTATCACACCAATTTCTAGATGGGGAAGGAGAGGAAATGCCATGGCCATCATTTGGAAACCACAAGCAAAAATAGGTCTTAAGAACATCTAGAAATGACAGTAGGAACAGTTTGTACCATGTGAAACTTAGAACCTTGCAAGAATACACTTAAATGTCCCACATATACTTTTGGAGAATATATTTGCAATCTTAGGAGATATGATCCTTGTAAATCATGGTGGGTGAGATGAGGAACACAGCAGGCTACTACACTATAACTTACATGATTTAATCAGCTATAAATCTAAAAATTGCTCTCAGCATACTGAGTACAAGCTGAAGGCATGCTAATTATTTTGTGCAGTCTTTATTAATATAAGCAAGTGTACAGACTATGTATTCATTGTAATTTTATAGGCTGATACATACACATATATGTATTTGTAGTAAAAACTTTTTCTTTGAGAGACAACAAAAGAGAAAAGAAGTCTGTCTGGTTCACTCCCCCAAGTAACACAATGGCTGGGGCTGGGCCATGAGGAAGCAGGAAGCCAGGAATTCAATCCAGGTCTCCCCCTGGGTGGCAGGGCCCCCATCACTTGAGCCTTCATCTGCTGCCTCCCAGAGCAGGCCTTGGCAGGAAGCTGGAATTGGGAGCTAGCCAGGACTTGAGGCTAGACACTGATATGTGATGTGGGTATTCCAACTGGCATACTAAACTCTAGACCAAATGCCCAACCCCATTTCCCACAAAATTTAAAGAGATGAAAATAAACAATATGTGGTTACCAAAGATAATTCAAAAGAGTAAAGCTTTTCCATAATCAAATTAATATTCCAATTATGAAGTATAAAATGAGAGATAAAACACAGCAGAAAGAGGCATCTTCAAGCATATTTAGGCTAGAGAGAAGACCATCCAAATGCCACTCAAATATGAAGGTTTTGCTGCAGAAAATGAGAGACTCTATTACTCCAGCCTAGTGGTTGCAAACTCAAGTGACCATTACAGTCAAGGAACTTGCAACTGTGTAGCCAGAAAAGCAGCTTCCTTATCAACAGTTAGATACAAATATACTAAAAATCACTCATTTCAAAAAGGTTAAGGGGCCTGGCAGCATGGCCTAGCGGCTAAAGTCCTCACCTTAAACGTGCCAGGATTCCATATGGGTGCCAGTTCTAATCCTGGCAGCTCCACTTCCCATCCAGCTCCCTGCTTGTGGCCTGGGAAAGCAGTCGAGGATGGCCCAAAGCCTTGGGACCCTGCACCCACGTGGGAGACCCAGAAGAGGTTCCTGGTTCCTGGCTTTGGATTGGCGCAGTACCGGCCGTTGCGCTCACTTGGGGAGTGAATCATCGGACGGAAGATCTTCCTTTCTACCTCCTCGTCTCTGTATATCTGACTTTGTAATAAAAATAAATAAATCTTAAAAAAAAAAACACAAGGTTAAGAAGCTAAGAGAAGGCCTGGCGTGGTGGCCTAGTGGCTAAAGTCCTTGCCTTGAACTTGCTGGGATCCCATATGGGCACTGGTTCTAATCCCGGCAGCTCCACTTCCCATCCAGTTTCCTGCTTGTGGCCTGGGAAGACAGTGGAGGACAGCCCAAAGCCTTGGGATCCTGCACCCGCATAGGAGACCCAGAAGAGCTCCTGGCTTCTGGCTCCTGGCTTCGGATTGGCACAGCACCAGCCGTTGTGGTCACTTGAGGAGTGAACCATTGGACGAAAGATCTTCCTCTCTGTCTCTGTCTTTCCTCCTCTTTGCAAATTAACAAAATCTTAAAAAACAAAAAGCTAAGAGAACAGTATTTGTTGCCCAAAGATGCATTATTTACAAGGGGAAAAAAGGAAAATGGTGAAGTACACCATAATGTTTATTAAAAACATACAACCCAGCAACAGTGTCTACAAAGGCTGGTATGGCAAGGTACCTGGGAAGTTTGAGAAACTTCCTTTTCCTATGGTTATGTTACAGTGAAATAAAGCAGAGAAGAGGGGAGTTTAGGAGTGGCGCCCAGTGTTAACAGCTCAGAGGCCAGGCCTGTGGAGCAAATGTGCTTACTGTGTTGTCATCTCAGATTCCCATGCTAATGGACCCTGAGAACATTATCGCTCAGTATTTGCAAAGAGGAGACAGTGAGGATTTGGCAGACTCTTCATTTATCATACTCCAGCGATGTGAGGATGGTAATCAGGCGCTTCCTCCGACACACACTGGACAGGACCCTTACAGTGTTTGTCTCACTCCCCAAGCCCCGGCCACTCTTTAGCTCTCTGCTGAATGAGGACTTTTATAATATTTCTTTAGTTGTTGTTTTTAAAACCAAAATACATTTGAATCAACCTCAAATAATCCACCTAGGAGTATATTTATAGTCATTCCCCCTTTATTCTAACTAATAAAAATTTAATGCTATAGGAGAATTACATTCAGCTCAAATGTTAGAGCATTTTATACCAAGACTAACATCAACACAAATCCCTTAATCACAATTATACCTAAGTATGTTTTTATACATATATTTCTTGAACATTAATAACTGTTAAAACTTGGTATGAAAAACTATACTATAGTAATAATATAGGAGAACTCAGTGAGGGGTTGGGGGAGACTTGAAATCCCAAGACCTATGGAACTGTATTATAAAATATAATAATAATTTAAAAAGTTTTAAAAAGCTCAAAATAACTGATTTTTGTTCTTTATTCCCTACTAAAACTCTATAATAAATAGAAGATCTGAAATGAAGAAGCATCACTCACTTGGAGAGTAATCCACCAGAGCCTGCTGGCTTTAGCAGGTATTTATCCACTTGCTTGTTGAAAAAATGAGACGGTAACTGCAAGCGCTTGGTGACGTTGTGGAGGTTTAATGCATATAGGGTCAGATCTCCCTCCTTATACCTTGGGCTAAAAGAAAACAGGTTAACTCAGGAAAAATCCTTGTCTGATTGAGGCCATTTAGAGTTGTATTGCAAACATCACAATACTTGCCAGGAGGCTCCCTAAAGACAATGGCCTTGTTAGTATCCTCCTCCAGTGTTTACATGAGAGCCCTCCCATGGCCCGAGTGTACTACTAACTACTATCATCATCATCATCATCATCATCATCATCCACTTCCCACTCCCATTGACCGAGGTGTTGCCTGCTTGGCAAGGCTGAGTGGCTCACAGATCAGCTCTACCCTATTTCCAAATATAAGTGAAACGTGATTTGTGTGGATTCATGTGAATTCAAATGGCAAACCATGTAAATAGTCCCTGGACTTACGAAAAAGACTGAAACAAACAAGAAAGGTAAAATCTACTGACACTTTCCAGATGCATCCAAACCATTCTCCTTCTGCTTCCTTGTGGGGTCTCATAGAAAAAGCAGGTGACTTTCAAAGCTAGAATTTATATTTTGCATCATTCTAACAGAAGACGAGCACATCTCTGGGATTTAGGAATATTTTTCCCTATGGACAGTCAGAGGAAGGAGCTGCAGAAGTCTCCATGACCTCTCAACTCAAACGCTGCAGCTTTGGAAAATGAGATTGTTATTGTTCTTCCCTGCTCCTTTTTCTCTTTGTTAAATGTGTAAGGCACAAAGGCAGACGACAAGTTCATAGAAAATGAAATTTTAAAAAAGATACTTTCCATGAACTTTTGGAAGTACCCATATACTCAGAGTTAATCAGTAATTCAAATTACTTTAGAGTCTTTATATTCATTCCCAGTTTAATGAATTAATTATTTATATTTAAATAGCTACCTTTTTATTTGTACTATTCTTATCCTTTTGGACTACAAATACCTATATTTAAGCAAAAAAAGAAGTATTAAAGTCTGGCACCATATCACTAATAATTTTTTTAAAAAGGAAACAGAAAGAACCATGACACACATTGGACGCACAGCATTGAGCGGCACAGTGCTCCAGTACGAAGCTGCAGCTGTCTCACTTAAGATTGTTTGACCTGGAAGGTTATGTCGCCTACTTACTGCTTGACATTTGTGCAGTGAAGGTAAACTCGAAGCTTGCTTCTGTCTGGCCCTTTCACACGTGCTGTGAACACAGTGGAGCCCACCAGCTTCTTATACAGAAGAGAAAGCCAGTAATCCTGGTCAAAAGAGAGGGACAAAAATTTACCTTTATTTAAAATTTATCTTTGGATCTTAGCTTATTTAAAAAGACCAGTGGTGAGCCAATAGTTTTGCTACAATGAATGTGACTGGTAACGTATGGACGGGTATCTAAATAGGATTCACTTTTTAAATTATAATCTAATTAATTTAGCTTTTGGTACATGTAACTACCAAGGATCTGAAGGCAATTGGTGCTTGTTGCTTTTATCACTGGAAGCCATGTTTTTGTAATTCAGAGAACCATTGCCATGAGCAGAATGTAATTCGGGGTCTGGTGCAGTAGCCTAATGACTAAAATCCTCTTCTCGCATGCATTGGAATCTTATATGGTGCCAGTTCATTTCATGGCTGCTCCACTTGCCTTCCAGCTCCCTGCCTGTGGCCTGGGAAAGCAATTGAGGTTGGCTAAAGCCTTAAAAGTCTGCACCTATGTGGGAGACCCAGAAGAGGCTCCTGGCTCCTGGTTTTAGATTGGCTCAGTTCCAGCCATTGCAACCTCTTGGAGAGTGAATCAGCAGATGGAAGATCTTTCTCTCTGTCTCTCCTCTCTGTAAATCTGACTTTCTAATAAAAATAAATAAATCTTTACAAAATGAAACTCATTGCTCAGGGAATTTAAATATTCTTAGTTGACTTTCATTCAAGAATTAAAACTAAGCTTAGAGTGGAACCTTAAAACACATGTACTCACAAAGACCAATTTTTGAAATAAAACTTCTATCTAGAGGATAATTTCCCTCCAGCCTCTGTAACAAAGTGATGTCAGAAGGAGAGACCACCAGACATGTGCTTCCTGATGCCAGCTGGCATTGCCTAGGAAGAACTCTTGTAAAAATGAAACAAAAACCTTGATGTTCAAGCTTCTAAGTATAACCTTCAGTTTATAGGAAACAGAGGGAGAGAAGGCCACGCCAAGTAATTGCACAAGAATACATTTAGCAAATGTAACGATATTGGAAACACTAAAGAAGAAATTACTTTCCTAAATTAATAAGTTGCAAGGGACATAAGCAGAAGGAGGGCAATTTAAAATTGAACAAACACATCAACCAGATGGGATGTATGTGCATTGTCTGGGTTCTGATTTGAATAAACAGACACTTAACAATGTTTTAGACAATAAAGAAGATGCAAAACACTGAGTCAATATTATGTTTCAAACAATTCTCCTATGAATTATTCTTAAATGCAATTTTATAAAATAATAACCAAGATCCTTCTTCTTCCAGCTACATCTATATTATCCCAATTTGTATACGAATATATCTTTCCGACAGATTTTTTGATACAAAGGTTGTATTTCCTGATTTAGCACCAAATGCAGTTGGCAGTAGAGTGAAAGTGAGACATTATTCATAAATATCTTGAAGATTATTAGCAAAGTAATCAATTATCTTAAAACAGATCAGTGCACAATACCGCCTGACTGAGTTGCACTAATGATGATTTCATGCACAAAGTTTTGAAGCCCCACAATCTGATTTATTTTGCAAAACATCCGTTAAACCAAGTTTATTATCTTAATGAATGAATCATAACATTTCAAATCATCCTTTTCCTAAAAAAAAAAAAAAAATGAATGCACACCAGACCCTAAATGGCCCACATTTAAAATGATATTTCTAACTCCTCTTAATTGCTTCTCTTGAGGCACAACAATGTTGGAAGAGATCATTTCCAGGATTTTTTCCAACTTGTCCCCTGGCATAGTGGCTCCTCACTGAGTGGACTATCCCAGGGGACTAACACCAGCCACTCCCCCACCCCCACCCCTGAAGTTCATCACGGAAAGAGGAAATAAACAGCCACTCACGGGCAGAGGTTCAAAGTTCCTGTCCACCAGGTGGTAGTTTCCAGCTCCAAAGAGCACTTGCCGCATCACCACGTCCATGCCCATGCGGGCTGACACACCCAGTTTATCCAGCCACCTGCGACAGGGCAAGAGCCGACAAAAATCCTTCCATTCCAATCACACAATACCTGGGGTTTTTCATCTCTGAGAGAGGGATTAACGGAAAGCAAGAAAATCAGTCTTAATTATAGAGAAGCCAGTCAAGGGCATGGTGAGTGCAAGCAGGTACAGAATCCTTGTCTTTAAGTCCTCCCCATTTGCAACCTGACAACAAAGTCTAGGACACTGCTGATCCCCCAGAGGAGTTCCTTGAGGGTAAGACACCTTCTCCAAGGACAGACATTCCTCACTCTGGAATGCTGGGTAAGGGCTGGGGAAAGTTGCAATCATTACCATTGTGAAATAAGCATAACCACACCTAACCTACTAACCACCTCCTTCCAGACTGACACTACCATGCATCCATAACTGTTAATGGCAAAGCAAACATCACCCTTCCATTCTGTTCCTCCTGCTCCCAGCACCATACAGGGTTTGTGCTTTAGTTGAAGTTTGTAAGTGCAAGGATAGGAGAGGAAGGAGAATCAAATTTTCCATGTGACGATGTAGAACTATAGATTCAGAGTCCTAACAGTTACTGAACCTAAGTCATCAAGTATGTGCTTTGAACACAGGTGAATCAATCTTTTCATCATCCGGAGGTAAATCTTTTGATTCACCGATAGTCCTTATACTGTGACCTCCTGCCATGCACTCTAAGCCTTGCGAGAATGGAAAACAAACCCTGAAAACTAAACCAAAAAGCACTAGCTATCTTCTTTTTTGGGGAAAGGGCATGTTAGCACAGACATCAGCCATCATTGAGGATTGGAGTCCCTCAAACAGTACATTCTTACAATGGCTCATGTGGGACACCTGTAGAAGATGCCATATAGCTTTCAACACTTTCTAGCCCCATCTGACTTCCGGGGCTGAGGGGCACATGCCATCAGTAGTCTGCTCTGGGGGATCCCACTGCTGTCTGGTTCCCGTGCTTAGCACAGTGTCACTCACATAAAGCCAGCTGCAAAGGTGTTGGACAACAAGGGCGCTCCACCCCCGTAGGCAGAGCTGGTTTCTCCCAACCAGATATTCTTGCCGGGTCTGGTCTCCTCCACCACCTGTGCAACACAGCAAAGTTTTCATGGTGATTGCAAACTGAGGTATTGCAGATGACCATGCATCCCCACACCCATCGCTACCACAGAGTTCCAGAACACATTGCAGCCATCTGTGTCTTGGGCCATTTTCTTTTATGGGACAACTGGGATGTGGAAGGAATATAAATAGAGCCATTTTTCAAAGTCTCCAGTAGTTAGCTGTACTAAAAGTATATTGGAGGGGACCTGGCACAATGGCTCAACTGGTTAATTCTCCACCTTCAAGCGTTGGGGTTACATATGGGTGCTGGTTCATGTCCCAGTTGCTCCACTATCCATCCAGCTCCTTGCTTGTGGTCTGCTGAAGGAGTAGAGGATGGCCCAAAGACTTGGAACTCTGCACTTGCATGGGAGACCTGGGTGAAGCTCCTGGCTCCTGGCTTCAGATTGGCTCAGCTCTGGTGATCATGGCTATTTGGGGAATGAACCAGCAGATGGAGTATCTTTCTCTCTATTTCTCCTTCTCTCTGTAAATCTGCCTTTCCAATAAATATAAATAATAATCTTTCAAGAAAGGATATTGGAAGTATCTTCAATTTCTTTTTAAAAAAACTGTGTCTTGTTGTTATTAAACAATATTATACTTATTTTATTTTATTATTTTGTGATACAATTCCATAGGTTCTGGGATTTCCATTCCTCTCTCCCCAAATCCTCTTTCCTCCACACTGATTTCCCCTATATTATTACAAAAGTACAGTCCTTCATAAACAGTCAAAAGTCCATCATGCTGCTATTTAAGTGTATGCTGACATTTTAGGCATGGATAATGGCAGAGAGTTCAGCATCCTATTATCAAGATATCTTTAACAGTTTTATTGGGAGTTCATCTTTGATTTGGAAAAAGAGATGCATGCATACTGCATTATATCTTCACATCTGATATTATAGTCTCTATTACAGTTACTGTTCAATTTTTAATCAACACACATGGGTAAGACCCCATGCCAGGGGGCCACCAAGTAGAACATGGTGCTTGTTCTCTGAAATTGGGAAACATGATATCTGTATACCTAAGGAATTTAGAAGTAGCTAGCATATAAAGTAAGGATGCTGGTATTATAATAAAAATACAAACACCATTCATTACCTGGAGTACTTTCTGCACAGAGGAAATAAAGGTGTCCAACACATCAGGGTTCAAGAAATCTTCTTTCGTAGCAATTCGTCCATTCACATAGTAGCTAAATTATTAAAAAAAGTTTTTTTTGCAGGGGAGAGCCCAACTTAATTCTTTGCTTTTGATTAATTCCTGGCCTTGTTCTTCCAATCCCTCCCATCCCCATGTAATAATAATAATAATAGTAACAACAACAACAATAATAATAATAAACAACTTAAAAGGTAGAAGTTCTACTAAGGAGAGACTAAGAGGGAAGGGGAAAAAGTGGAAGAGTCCACTCCATCCAAATAACTAGAAAACAATGACCCAGTCTGGAGATGACATGGACTCAAGTACGTGTATTGGTGGGTTACCTGTTCCTTGACAAGCAATTCATTTCAGCTATTTTTCCTGTTCCATGGGTTAATGGGCAACTTAATTTTATAGAAATTAGCACATCATCTAAAATAATTTAGAATTTTTGATGTTAAAAAAGAATATATATTCTTATAATATTACATAATGTGTTATTTTTAAAAGAATAATAATATAGTGCCATTTAAGACACTCTTTCTTACCTAACAAAAAATTTGGAAATCAAAGTTTTGATAACTTAGGTAATAAATAAAAGCAGTGTTACTTTCCTTGTATAAAGAATAGGATACATACTTACTGATGCCATGTAACTGAATCAATCACTGCTCCACCAACCTTTAGGAAACTAGAACAAAAATCCTATTATTATCATTCACTCATCATATGCAAAACAGCAGACAATATATGCATAAAAGTTTCATTCCCTAGAAACGACAGGTTACCTAGTTAGAATCAGAGGAACCTAAACATCCCAATTCTCACAGTAAACGGTAGGCTAGGTGTTGTTTGTCCCAGAATCCTTAGCCTTCTGAGTCAATATATGTTCTTTCAGTGACCCACGTAGTCAGACAGTAAACTGTTTAATGGCGTAGGGACTACTGAGGATTTGCCCTGAGAGAACATTCATTTTGAAGCAAAGCGGCTCTGTATCCCCGAGTTCTCACCTGCTCAGCATGTTCACCGTCTTTCCTCGGGGCTGACCCACATCGGGACCATAGAGCTTCGCATTTTTGAAAGTGGACTTCCCGAGAAGTTTATGTAGTTCTATAAAGTCTTTTCCCAACTGCAATCCATCAATGAAAATACCAGCCTTCTTCCGGAAACTATTAGGTTCTGAAAGACAGCCATTCTCAAATGAGTTACTTACCTGGAGATATTTTACTTAAAAGCAAACACAACAAAACATCTTCCAGATTACAAAAGCTTAGACTTCAAAGTCAAATATAAAGAGGATATTGTGGAGAAATGTTAATTATATGAGAGTATTCCACAAACTTTGTGGAAAATGTGATTAAAAGATGAGTTTATTTTAGTGCAAAAATTTTGAAATCCATACATAGTGTTTATAGAATATATATTCCCATGAAATCTTGGATTGTTTTCAGGGTATTAATTAAATCAGGGTATTAATTTTAAATTAAAGCATAATGGTTTGAAGCTAAACCAAGACATAAGTAAAAAGCATCTGTATCCAGTATTTAGTACTTCACTCTTAAAAAATTGAGGAAGACATTTAGTGCTCAGAACAGTGCTTCGTCTATCAGTATGTGCTGATCATATTACCAAACCTCATTTTCCATTCTATACCCAGTTTCCCTAGCTGATACATGGAAAGTCAGTCTAAATATTCTGTGAACAAATGAGGCCAGCCTGAACATTACCATTTTAGTTATAAGGTTCTTACAAGGAGTTCAAAAAAGCCAAAGAGCAGCTTGACTTGGGTGGAATGCTAGACAACTTGAACAATGTCGTGATAGTTGAGATGGGCAGGTTCAGAAACACAGACAGGAAGGGAAGAATAAAGCAAATGGCCTCCACACAGTTGGGCCCAGCACAGTTTGTTAAGCATGAAGGATCTAGGGATCCTGGGAGTTAGGAAGGCTGCTAGCTGCACTAGCTGCCCTCACCTCAAATGTCACATCAAGTGAGATAAGCAGTAAACTCTGGAATATAGACAGGAGTTTTTTGCTCTATCAAGTTCCAAAAAGTGGCACTTGTAAGAATATGCCCAGGCTATACTACTTCTGGCTATACTACTGATAATAAAAGGAACACCACAAATAGAAACAAACAAGAAACCAACAATGCCAATGGGGAATGTCTTTACAAATGAAATGTTCCAGGAGTGCTTACCATTGCCTAGTTCCCAAGAAATGTTGTAACTCTTGGAGGAACAGTAGTCCAAGAGCAGCTGAGCATTCGAGCTGTTCCACTGCAAATCTGCTGTCCTTAGTAAGGCATTCAGACCAAAAATCAAATTGAGTCCGGAGCAATTTGCAAAATCGTACAGCATATCCACCGAGCTCTCTGCAGGGCAAGCATTGCAATTTAATGGTTAAGGAACACAGCCTCCAGCGAACCTTCATAGCGAACCACTGTTTTGGTGGCTGCATCAAAGGAATCCCAGCCCCATGAAATGATTATAAATAAGCTTAACAAGAGAATTAGGTTGGCAATTTGGGGGAAAAAAAATCAGTTTGATGAGTCTGCTTTGACTGTGAGATGTGTATGGAAGGCACCAGAAACTCTAACCCAGCACCCAGGTTTTGTTCAAGTGACTTGGGTGAGTTGGGGAAACCACAGTTTGTGGCTCAGTGGCCAGCATGCAAAGCCAGGCAGCTATGAGTCAGCACAAACCCCACCCTCCATTGTCAAAATATTATGACTCACGAACTCAGTTACAAAATATTTTTTAGTAATTTTAATTACATCTAAAATAATTAAGATTTATGGGTGTGTTTGTGTAATATAATTTTTTTTATTTGTGAGACAGGAGAGCACCTGTGTACTGATTCCCCCTCTATACCTATAGTGGCTAGGACTGTACTGGGGACAGAAACCAGGAGCCAGGAACATGACATGTGTCTTATGTGGGTCGCATGAATCCCATTATGTCAGCCACCACTGATGTCTCCAAGGGTCTACGTTACCGGTTAACTGGAATCAGTAGTCAGAGCTGGGTACTGAATTCAGGCACTTGAGTGTGGAATTGGATGCTTCAACTGCTAAGCCATGCAGTTGCTCCTACATTTGAAACAATTTTTTGAAAAATTCCTACATATGGGGCCCGGCGCGGTGGCGCAAGTGGTTAAAGGTCCTCGCCTTGCACGCCCGGGATCCCATATGGGCGCCGGTTCTAATCCCGGCAGCCCCGCTTCCCTTCCAGCTCCCTGCCTGTGGCCTGGGAAAGCAGTCGAGGACGGCCCAACGCTTTGGGAACCTGCACCCGTGTGGGAGACCCGGAAGAGGCTCCTGGCTTCGGATCGGCATAGTATCGGCCCGTTGCGCTCACTTGGGGAGTGAATCATCGGACGGAAGATCTTCCTCTCTGTCTCTCCTCTCTGTATATCCGCCTTTCCAATGAAAAAATAATAAAAATAAATCTTTAAAGTTGAAGAGTCAGCAACAAAGATGCTAAATGCCACAGAGTTACTGAATGTCAAAACTAGAATTTAAAAAAAAAAAAAAAAAAAAAAAAAAAAAAAGAAAAATTCCTACATATGGCATATGTGCTTAAAGTGAAGAAGACTTTATATTTAAAAATTGGCCTGTTAGAGCATCAATAGGAAACAATACACTGAGGACTGTCTAGACCTCAAATGTCATTCAAGAATTCTTATTTGTTTCCCCGTTACATTTCAAGCATATTCTAATTATAACTCTCTGTATTGTATTTTGATTATCATTTGCTCCCCTAGACTGAACATTCACTTTGTTATTAGAAAGAGAGAAAGAGAAAAAGAAAGGAAAGAAATAAGGAAAAAGGAAGGAAGGAAGGAAGGAAGGAAGAGAGAAAGAGAAAGAGAAGAAAGAAGGAAAGGAAATTGACCAGCACTACAGGTGCTACAGTTTCCCAAACTATGTGCCAAGGCACACTGGAGAGAGCCATAGCAAATTCACCAGTACATTTGTCAGACTATGCCAACAAAAATATAAGACACTTAGTTCAATCGAGCTTTGGGTAAATGAGTAATTTTTAATTTAGTTAAGTATGTTCTATGTAACAGTTAAGAAACACTTAACACCATAAAATATTATTGTGTATTTGAAATTAAAATCTAACCAGGCACATGGAAGTAGTGTGGAATCTTTTGTTTTCAAGGGAGGCACACAATATCTATGGGGGCATGATGAGAACTATTACTATTACTGAACTGTTAAGACCTAGAATAACTTAATAGTCAAAACTCCTAAGTATTTCTTTTGGCCTAGGTACGCTGTGAAATAGTTACTTAGACACTAAGGTGCCATAAGACCACAGCAACTTGTGTGCTCTGCTTTTCTGAACATCACTGGTCTACAATCACGTTTTGAGGCTGGCAACAATACAATTTTTAAGAATTGTCTTTAAAGTAATTATTGGGGTTGGAACCATGGCATAACAGGTAAAGCTGCTGCTTGCCATGCCGGCATACCCATTCATGGGCTGGCTGCTCCACTTCTGATCTAACTGCCTGCTAAAGCACCTAGAAAAGCAATGGAAAAGGCACAAAAGCCTGGGCTGCTGCACCCAAGTGGGAGACTCGGATAATTCTGGCTCCTGGCTTCAGCCTGGCCCAGTTCTGGCTAATAGGTCATTTGGGCAGTGAAACAGCAGATATAAGATCTTTTTCTCCTTCTTTCTCTCTTACCCCTCTCTCTCTGTAAATATGCCTTTCAAATAGTAGAATAAATCTTTGTGTTTTTTTTTAAGTAATAACCATGGAGCAGATCTTTGTATGACTTCTAAAATTTTTATTTATTTGAAAGGGAATGAAAGCAAGAGGAGGAGGAGGAGGAGGAGAAGCAGCAGCAGCAGCAGCAGCAGCAGCCAGGAACTCAGAATTCAATTCATGTTTCCCGTGTGGGTTGAGGGGCCCCAGCATTTGGGCCATGTTTTGCTGATTTCCCAGGTATCTGTTATACTTTGTAGGTACCTCAGCTGGCAGCCTAACCCACTGTGCCACAACACCATCTCCTGATTTCTATTGTTTTAAAATATAAGTTTGTGGGTTGTAGTGGCAGGAGATGTGATGTAGAAGTTAAAGCTGTCACCAGGAATGTCAGCATCTGAAATGGACGCCAGTTCATGTCTCAGCTGCTCCACCTTTGATCCATATCCCTGGGTAAACTTATTTATTTACAGAGAGAGAGAGAGAGAGAGAGAGAGAGAGAGGAGGCGGGGAGTGAGAATCTTCCATTTGCTGGGTCACTCCCCAAATGGCACAAAAGCTCAGGCTGGGCCAGGCTCAAAGCCAGGAGCCAGGAATTACTTGAAGATTTCCCAAGTGGGTGGTGGGGTCCAGGCACTTGAGCCTTCACTGAAGCCCTTCCAGACACATTAGCAGGGAGCTGACTTGCAAGCAAACTTGCCTGATTTTTAATTGAAAGCCTTTCCATGGGTAGTATCACTAGGAACTGGCTGACCTCGCTGCCCTATTTCCTGGAGGGGCAGAGCAAGGCAGGGGCAACCACCGTGTCACCCACAGACTGGTGCTCTGGGACCACAATAGCCTGTGGACACTGCTGCAGCACCTGTTCTCATGCAGTCTGACCATCGTGAGCAATGCCTGCAGCATGCTCCAGAGCCTCCTGTCTGCGTGCAGCAGGTGGGACCAGGAGTTGCTGTGGGACCTGGGTGCCTGGGCATGCTGCGTAACCTGCTGTGCCCCAGGCACAAGATGACCACCATGAGCATTGCTGCCCTGTGCAACCTGCTGGCCTACTAGCCTGCCAAGTACCAGGCTGTCACCCCAGACCTATCCAATGGGCACATCTTAAGTTCAGGGGTCAAGACATTGGGTAAACTGGAATCCTAAGACCTGGGCTTTAGTCCCAATCTCCCCACTTAGAAACTCCAATGTGACAAGGAGTAATGGCTTCACCCACAGGGCCCTCTGCCGTGGTCTATAGTCCTGGAACATGCACCATCATGTGTCTACCCTATACAACCAAGATTGGAATCACACATCTGTAAAACAACTGTAAGCTATTAATTCAAAAATCTTGTGGGAAGATGGAATTTAAAGATAAGTCTGCTAGGGTGCCTAAACATTTTGAAACCTATTTTTTCATAACCCATTTCCCACAGACTCTTTGAAGATCCCTTGCCCACAGCACTGTGATTGCTCAGTGTGGGCAAGGAAAGATTGCAACATTTTCCAAAAGCCTAAAATGTTTGCATTTTAGAGTATCCAACTTGTATTTACTTTGCCTGCATTTCTTCATTCCCCAAAATGTGCCTGAAGTTTAGGTAGCTTTAAATTCTATTACACACTCCCTATAACATCATAAACAGTAACACCTGGAATAAATTTTGCATGTTCCTAAGACCAAATCCACTCTCCACAACACAAGAAAAGGGGCGGGCATTTAGGCCGGCCATTACAACACCTGTGTCCTGCATCAGAACACCTGAATCTGATTCCTGGCTCTTCCAACTCCCGCTTCCTGCCAGTGGAGTCACTGAGAAGCAGCAGATGATGGCTCAACTGAGTCCCTTCCATCCACGCACCGGACCTAGATTTCCTACTGTGTTGCTCCAGCCCCAGCCCAGCCTTGCTCATAACAGTGATGAGTTCTCCCCAACCCCCAAGTTTGGTCTATTTCTGTCTCTCTGCCTCAGAAAAATCATGTCACCTACTTCTTCTCTCAAATAGGAAAAAAATAAAAGTCACAACCAATATTCCACTGCTAATAACTCTCCAAACTTTGAATTCTGACTATAAGACTAGAAAGCCCTCTGGAGGAAGATCATCTAGACAACGCGTTAAAAAGGGACATATTAAAGAACAGTGGCTTGCAGTCCACCAGGTAAATTTAAAACGGTGTTCAGCTTCCAGCATGAGTGCAGGGCAGATGGAAGGAGAGCAGAGAAGTAGCTGAATCAGCATGATCAATTTAATAAGGGAGTTATCCTTTCTGTAGTTATACCCAGAGTCACATCCGTGGCACTGCTTCCTTCTCCTGCCCAAACAGGTTGACAGTGTGAATCTATATTCTGGCAACAAATGTTTTTGCTGTGTTCTACTTCAGTGGAACACATCACCCAAGGGGGCTTGCCTTAGCAAACTTACCTGTCTGTTTTAAGACACCTACTTTAAGGGTTCAGGCCACTAACTGGGCCAGTGACACACCCCGGTCATCACAAGCTTTTTCTATCTCTTCATTGGTAAGGTGCCCCCAAGTCATGACCACGGTCATGGTCAGACATGACCAAACTCAGCCACAGATTGAGAATTACACGTGGGAATGCCTCTCAGCTTCTGTGACATTTGTCATTACAGTGAGTGCTGTGATTCATCCAGAGAGTTCTACGTTTCCATGACATGCAGGTTTAAATGGACAGTTTCAGACCAGAAGCCAAATGTTTGCACATACAGGTTAACGTTTTTTTTAGTGGTTCTTACATAGTTAACCATTGCTAGTGGGCTGACTGGAGTTATAACAACCCAGTATGTATGAAGGTTCCCTGCTATGTGAAGGTCCAAGTCCCAAAAGCAGGAAGAAATGTTAAAAATGTACTGTCTCGGTAGCAGAAAGAACATGGGAGATAGCCAGCTGTTTTCAGAAGCTGAAGATAAACTGCTAGGGAGTTGAATGTGACCAAAACCAAAGGGACACCAGTGACTGCCTAGTTCCGTGGCAGTCTTCTCCTAGCAAGTGTGTATCCTCATGTCTTCTTACAGATGAGACCTGACTGCTGTGGGTCTCTTGCACTTCTGTCATCCCTTTGAAGGGATCTGAGATGGCTGTGCCCAGGCCAACAGTAAACCATGCTGACTAAAGTGTCCAAGCAGTTCAGAGGGCTGCATTAGCTATTAGCATGTGACCTATTTTCTGACTTCTCTTGTATCATGCTTTTCTATACCTTAATTATACATATATGCACATATACCTATATACACATCCATATACATTTATAAAGCTGTCTGATACACTGGAATCCAGGTCGTATGCAATAAGCTTTTACAAACATAACTCATTTATTTTAAATATTGTACTTTAGAAAAATGTTAACTCACATAAAGTTAACTTTAAGATGACTTACTTTCCTAAAGTCAAGAGATGACAGCATGTCATACTTAAATGTATATCATAGTTAAATGCATATCATAGTTAAAAATATTTATCATAGTTAAATAGGGTTGGTTGTTTCATTTGTTATAAAGTTCTGTAGGACAAAGTCATCACATATTGCTAAGACTGAAAGCCACTTCAATGAGTGGAAATAAGCTGGCTAGTTGAGCCGGTCATGCGTTAGCCACAGAAGAAAGGCAAAGTTGTTTGGCGGCCAGGACTGTCTGGGAAATCCCAAGGTCCCTCTGCCTAAAGACATAAACCACACCATCCTCAGGTTACATGCTGGAGTTTTAGATTTTTGAGCCTTTGTGGGTCTATATCTTTACATGACAATCATACATCTTTCTTGATCCCTAGTTCTCACCAAGTGATGAAAGTCATTACTAGTTCATGAATGGTTAATTTTTGTCCCTTTGCTCTGTAGACAAAGTCAGGCAGAAAGAAAAGAAGTTTTGAGGTTGAGATTTCCTGAGATTTCTTAATAGTATTTGAGTAGTGCAGAACTTCAAGTAACTGCTAATAATACTTACTATAGTCAAGCCCAGGTTCAACCTATCTACATACGTTTGGGGCTGGGACACCTACATGGTGCCTTTCGCTCCTTACTTGAATAGGTGATGTTCTTGAACTTCTTCTGATACTGTTCTGTAAGCAGCAGTTGCTCCTGGGAGGGCCATTCAAACTGTAATCTCTCCTCCACATCAGAAGGGATGGGTCCAAACTGGCAAACATCTGCAAGTAGAAGAGGTAACTTAGAGAATTTGTATTCACAGGAAGAAGGTTAACATCCTATACACATATCTAGTTAGTTGTTGACATGGCAAGGTGGGAGAAGTTTCTGGTTTTTACACATGAGATCAGAGAAATATATGAGGGTATTTTTTAAAATCCAAGGAAAACAGTATTGAGAAAAATCATTTGATTTTTGTCTCCCCAAAAGTTTAGAAATCCATGCATAGGAAAGATCTTCAAAATGTTGATGGGAAATATGCATTATTAAAAGCCCATGCTCAGATTTAAGAGTATTTTTGCATCCAAACAAATGTAACTTGAAAAAAAAAGATTTATTTATTTTTATTGGAAAGGTGGATATACAGAGCAAGAGAAACAGAGAGGAAGATCTTCCATCCGATGATTCACTCCCCAAGTGGCCGCAATGGCTGGAGCTGAGCCAATCCAAAGCCAGGAGCCGGGAGCTCTTCCGAGTCTCCCATGTGAATACAGGGTCCCAACGGTTTGGGCCATCCTCAACTGCTTTCCCAGGCCACAAGCAGGGAGCTGCATGGGAACCGGGGCCGCCAGGATTAGACCTGGTGCCCATATGGGATCCCAGTGCGTGCAAGGTGAGGACTTTAACCACTACACTATCATGCCAGGCCCTAAACGTAACTTTCAAATTCCATTTTTTCCACAAACTCTTGGAAGTACTCTCATATATTCCCTTGCACGAATCAAACTGGCAGTCCAGCCAACCACCACAAACACAGGCATCCAGAGAAACAGCGGGTATACATGGGACATACGTGGCATACGTGAAGGCTCCCCAGAAGCAGGAGATAATCTGAGAATGTTCATAAAGAAGTCACCTTCCTATACAAAGAAAGTTGTTCAGCGTGGGCTCTGTCTGTTGTGGGGTCAGCTCCTCTCATCATAATAAAGGAGAGAGAGGGAGTGTTGACTTCTGTCACTTTCCATGTGGTGGTGTAGAATCTTCTGGTGTCAGGATGTGCACCCTTGGGAACTTCCACCCCCATCCTGTCAGGCTGCCTGGCTTGCTTTATCACTTGACAGCAGGTCCCCTGGCACTGGCTGCCACAGCTGACTGACCAGCCACCAACTTCCTTTCTGGGAGGCCACACATTATGACTTACAGGCCTTGGTGCCCCATCCATCTCTTTACTTACAAAGGGATGTTCCAGAGGAACTTAGATAATCCCATTAACCTCCACCCCATCCTATAAGATAAAGAAAACTGATGAGCAAAGGACAGAAACCTTTCAAATACATGCAACCAGGGAGAAAAGGGCAAGTTCAAGCACTAACTCTTCCAGTTTATGACTTAAATAGAACCTTCTTGCCTGCCACCCCCTTCTTCTATTTTCTGTAATTACTACATACTGTCAAATTTTGCCAGTAACCGATGAACCATTCTAAAGACTTTCTAGAGGAAAAGATGTAGCGTATGAAATAATTTGCCATTATTTGCTTATATATGTGTTTATAGAATTCAATGGGACATACATTAGTTTTAGTCATTATTAAGATAATGATTTGACTCCTGTTTGATGCCTGATAGCACAAACACAAGAAAAATCCTCATGCCTCCCCTAGGGCAGCTTTCTGCAGGGTCAGAATCACCAACGTTCCATATCAGAATCACCTGCTGAAATGAGCATCTCAGCTGAGATCCCGGAAATCACAATGTTCAAACTCACTGCAAGTGATTACAGATATTTAGTAAAACCTGAGACCAATTGCCCAGGACACTGCATCTTATGATCCATTCTTCAGAATACATCTCCTTATGCCCTTGTTGTAATTCTCACCCAGATTCTATTCCATCTTGAAAACACTTCAGGTTCTGGCCACATCCTTAGCTAGAAACACACTGTTGGTGGGAGACATCGCTACCCACAGGCTCCCTCCCAGCAGCCCTGTTCTTCACCTGCAGCAGCTGCTGCTCTGTTGCCAACATAACTGGCTCTCAGCTATGCAAGGCACATCAAACATGAGAAGTTTCATGCTCATGAGACTTGCATGAGGAAGAAATCTGCCTACTGCTTCCACCTGTTTAGGTGCATACACAGCTTCACCTTTTACTCACTTTCAGACGTGAGCAATGACACTTTTCTCTAAGTATTCTCATGACCAACTCAAGTTCATGTACATCTACTGTTCATCTAGAAGAAGTTTTACCCTGGTTGACTTGAGATTGCCAGTATCTTCTCTCCTCAAAGGTTGGTTCCTTGTGGGGATCAAAAATGAGAAAGTCTGTCTTGGTACCACCAAACCTCAGATATGCAGGAGACAGGCCTCTGGCCAGGGTACGTAGCTTTGGAGAACTGTAAGGAAAGTACATGAGAAATGATTATTATTTTTTCCAAGACCATTCAGTCAATCATTTTTTCATTTTTTTACCTCCTTCTCTCTTGGTAATCCCCTATTTCTTCTTCTTCTTCTTCTAAATAAAGGCAGATTTTACAGAAAACAAAGTAGAGACAGAGAGAATGAAGTATTCCATCCATTGGTCTGCTCCCCAAATAGCCACCACAGCCAGAGCTGAGCTGATCTGAACTGAATCTAGGAGCCAGGAGTCCAGAGCTTCTTCACAGTATCCCACAAGGATGCAGGGGACCAAGGACTTGAGTCATTCTCCACTACTTTCCCATACCATCAGCAGAGAGCTACAAGTGTAGCAGCTGAGCTTGGAAGTGCAGCAACTGAGAGAGAACTGGTACCGAAATGGGATGCCAGCATGACAGGTGGAAGATTAGTGTGCAATGTCACTGCACCAGCCCCAGTGAGCCTATTTCTTAACTTCTAACTGTGCAGGTCTCGGAGGGAGACGTCACCCCACTATAAAAGGGGAGTCCCCTCCATTTGAATCTTTCTAGTTGAGTTGTCCTTCTAGGCACCTGCAGGCAACCTGAAGGTCCCATTCTAACCAGGGCTTTTGGTTTAACTTCACAAGTATGGCAATAATCAATACATCCAATTTTTTTTCAAAACCCTTTATGATGGGCAGAAGGAGTGGAAACCCACAGGAAGATGACTGTCTCATGTGTAAACAACTTGCCCCAAGTGATGGGGATGGTCCAAAGCTGAGGGGCTGTGAGGGCTTGGTGCGGGGTGGGTGAGATGAAAAGATGGAGCCAAATAGTTCTGAAACATGCAAGGGTCTCCTTCGCCTTTGGAGTGGGGGTAGGAGTGGTCAGAAGGGTTTTCCCGGGGAGATGATTTCACTGTTAGACAGCAAAAGGAATTCAGTTCACCTGTTAGAAAGAGTGGGGTGGGGCTGAAGAAAGTATCCCAGGTAACATGGAAAGCTTTGATAAAGACCAGATGTGGAAGACAGCATAAGACCTTGCAGAGCTGATGGCCACAGCAGGTTCCTGGTGATAAGGGTGTAGAGAAGCTGGGAGAGAACACAGTGGAGAAGCCAATGGGCCATCAGTCAGGCTGCCTGCAAGTCATGATGCCTGAGGAACCTCTCCATGGAGAGCCACAGATGATTTCAGCACCAGGCGTGACTTCACTGGACTTTCCTTTCAGGAAGCCAGCTCAAGCTGCATTATCAGTAACCAAATAGCAGGAAAAAGACTGTGGTCATGTTCGTGTGGACAGAAAGTAATGGATGGAGGTGAGATGACAATGGGAGTAGAGACAGATAAATTCATGACAAATTTTTAAAAACTTTTATTTTCATTTTATTTGAAAGCAGAGAGAGAGAGACAGAAAGGAGAGAGATCTACCATCTACTTCTTCACTCCTCAAATTATAGTATACCAGGCTAGGCCAGGCCAAAATCAGGAGTCTAGAACTCCACATGGGTCTTCCATCTGGGTTGCAGGGACCCACGTACTTGAGCCATCACCACTGCCTCCCAGGGCATACATCAGCAAGAAAGTGGATCAGAATCACAGAGGTTAGGATTCAAACCAGGCACTCAGATATAGGGTTCAGACATCCCAAGTGGCATTTTAGCTCCTGTGCTAAAAGGCTACCCCTTAAGACAAATTAAGAGCGAGAAATGGATTTGGGACTCACTTGGATGCTGAGGAAAGAATTTCTCCTGGAAAGCCCCTAGGAAGATGGTAACATCTTTCACCAAGATGAGCAACAAGTGATAGATCGGAGAGAAGGGAGGAGACTCAGTGCTGTAGAATTTGAAATGCCAGTTCAAATGCCCTAACTCGTCTCTGCTTGAGCTCAATTGGCCATGTGAATGTGAAACTCAGGGAGCTGTTTTGGCAGGGGATATGCACATTAAGGTCCTCAGGATAAAGGCCAGGCTGGTAACCTTGACCCACAGCCCTACAACCGGTCCAAGGCAGTTCTTCAGGGAAGAGTCTCTCCCCACTGACCTGGTTCCATGGCTTACAGCCAGCAGCAGTGATTCTGGCTCTTGCCTTTTGGATTGGTTTTAGTGATAAACGATGAAGCTGGATTTGTAAGCAATTACTAGTACAAGAGAAGCTGGCATTCTTTGGGAAGTGGAGGAAGAAAACGTTCTTGGAAAAGACTACTAACCCTAAGATGACCCAAGTGGGGGACGGGGTTGGTCAGCACGTGGCATGCTATTAGAGTGCTACGTGGGACACCCATGTCACATCCTATAGTACTTCTAATTCCAGCTTCCTGCTAATGCACATGATGAGAACCCACACGTAATGGCTCAGGTAGCTGAGTCATCCCTATAGGAGACACAGTTCCTGGCTCCCAGCTTGGGTCTGGCTTACCCCTTGCTGTTGTAGGTACCTGGAGTGGGCAGGGGGAGGTGTGGTCATAGTAGCAGAAAGGAGATGTGCATGTGTGTGTGTGCGCACTTGTCTGTTTCTCAAGTAAAATAAATAAATAAATAAACATACACATCTTGAAAAGAAAACAGGACCTGGGTCAGATGTTGGAGCACCAGGGCCTGGTCCCCAGGGTTATGGACAGGCCACGTTGGGTCACTCTCCAGCATATTGTCAAGATGTTGTTTCCTTCATAGCACTTGCCACTCTTTAGCATTAACTTCCTCTCATGTTTCCTTGATTTCCTGACTGCCCCAGCCCCAGAGCCTGATATCAGGCAGCCTGATTTATCTGTCTGGTTTATCAGTGTCTCCCCCAGGAAACCAGGACACATAGCTGGCCCTTACTGAATATTTCTTAAGAGATAGAACAAGGGAGGCAACATGATAAAAAGGACAAGTGCAGGCCAAACAGCATTTTCAAAACCAAATTAAGTCAGTGCCATGACTGCTGTCCCTTAAGGAGAATGCTGTATTTGAAACTTTTGGTATAAGCAATATCTTTGCAATGGAACATTTTGTTTTGTTATGTTTTGAGAACACAGTATTGATGCTCTCAGACAAAACCAGCTTTAATACAGCTGCAAAACAGGCCATAAAACAAAACTGATCAAAGGTATAGTATTTTGATCATAGCAGCAAAGAGTGGGGGGGGGGGGCGGGGCAGAGCGGGGAATCCACCACTGGAAAGAACAAAAGAATGCACAAAAGCAGTTGCAGTTATTCTGTTTTCTTAGCTGAAAACAAAAGAGACCTGCACGTGTCTTTATTTTACCTTTTGTGCAAAGCTAATTTCTTTATCTCTGATGCAAAAGCAGAAGTAGCTTATTAATATGCATTAAAACTCATACTTAAGTATTTTTTTCCATTTCCAGATTTGAGGGTTGAACTCCTGTAGACTCCAAAGAGGGAATATATTGATGAACTAAGCTGTGTTTGGGGTTTTAGCCAGAAGAAAAGTGGTGAGGGGGCTTGAGGATATTATTAAAAGGATTCTTGTGAGAAATCAAAAAGCCCCAATGAGATGGGAGAATAGAGAGGAGTGGCAGCAAACTAGCTCTGGAGATAAAGAGCAGAGAGGGAAAGGAATAGTGGTCCATGAATGGGAGGTTTAAATTTAAATTTCAGGCATCGAAAGGTTACAAGTGATGGAAATAATCAAATCCCAGTCCTGGCCATGACACTGCTGGTTAAAATAGACTCAGGCAGCCTTTGTGCCGACACACCTGCTCTTTGCTAAACGATGCTGTTTTTAGTGTTTGCCAATGGCCATGGTATAAATCTCCCCACAGTGTCTGTTTCCCAGGTACCAGCATTAGGTCACCACTCATAGAGCGGAGAAGAAATGCAGACATTTCCAAAAGGTGGTACAGACTGGATCCATGACAACTGAGGATGGATAAGGAAAAACTGTGGGGTGAAGAAATCAACAGAGAACATGTTCAGATGACTCAGAAGTCATCTAGGACAACGAGGGACCTGGAGGAGCACAAGAAGCTGTGGGTTCAGCGCTGGTCTCCAGTCAAGAGGGAGAAGAGGGAGGAAGAGAGTGAAACACCATGGCAGGAGTGCAAGCCAGGTGTGGAACTGGACAGCCTCACAGTGCAAGTCAGGACTGTCATCACAAAGACCACAGTGAGCATTTTTATTTAGGCTGTGAAGATCCTTCCCCTTAGTCTCAAAATAACCCAAAGCTGTGAGTGTCTTTCTTTTACTGAGTTTACTCATACAGAATCTGACAACAAGGAGGTAAAGTAATTGGCCCATGTAAACAGAGGCATTGGATCATAGCAGCTTGGAATGCAAATGAGTGGGTCACTTTTCTTGAAGCCTTGACTTTGATCACAGGGAATTCTATCAGCAACAAACACCTGGTGGTCCGTGTGGCTTTCCAACAGCAGTTAATTAACACCTGCATTTAACATTAGGAAATGCTCCTTGAAATAGGAAAACCAGCTCTGTTAATGAAGATGCGGGAGTCTGTCGAATGGCCAACAGAGATGGATGATGTTTGTTGAAGAACAATGAGCCAATTCCTGGAAAAACCAAACCCAGCTAGCTTAGCCTTATGGCTGATGTGGCTACTCAGTACTGTTTTTGCTTTGAAGGGGTCAGGGTTTCCTAAGTAGACCTGTGTGAATGAGCTATGTGTAAACTGAAACACACAGTAACACTGTATCATATGGTAGCTAGGGTCCTGTGGCTGGCTTGGAAGGGTGCTTAGTCCAAACTGAGGGCTGCCAGATTTCACACACTTGGTTCTAGAAAAATACGGAGTCCACACCAGATTTCACACACTTGGTTAGAGCAAAATATGCACCCATATTTTTATATCGGCCACATGTCATATGAACTTAGCTAGATAAAATTATTACAACTAATTTCAACCATCTTTTGTTCCATTTTAAATATGGCTACTAGAAAAATATTAAATTAAAGCCAAATAATTTTAGCCTTGCAATTAGGCAGCTGGCTAGGATGCCTGCAGCAGAGTACCCAGGTTTGATGCCCAGTTCAGGCTCCTGACTCCTGCTTCCTGTTAATGCAGAGCCTGGGAGGCAGTGGTGATGGCTGAAGCAACTGGGTCCCTGACACCTACATGAGAGATTCAGACTGAGTACTCAGCTTCAGCTTTGGTCCTGGTCATGTGGGCATCTGAGGAGTGAAATCAGTGGACGAGAGCTCCATTTTTCTAGCTCACTTTGCCTCTCAAAAATAATTGTCTGTATGCCTTGCATGCTATTTGCATCGGATGGTACTGACCTGTGCCAGCATCTCTTGTGTGTTCTGCAGAAAGAGGAAGTATTGGGATGGACTTGTTGGTTAATTACCCCTGGGAAGAGGACAGACACACTGTAAAGCTCTCTTTCCCACTTCCATGTTGTTCTAACATTGGCATGTAAGCTGTGTGCACTTTATGTTCTAGGGTTGCCAATGCGAGGGGAAAAAAAAAATTGCCCCTGCAGGCAGCCAGAACCATGCTGTCCGATCAAATTTGCTTAGTCTTCCTCTGAATTGTCTTACCCTGATTCACCTCCTCTCATGTCACTGCTTCTTTGTCTACCAAATCCTCCTGTTTCCTTCCTCCCTTGTATCAGTAGTCTGAGTCCACTTTCAAACTGCTTCTCCATGTGCTTTGTGGCTCCCTGTGGCCCATTTATTTAACCTCCCCAAACCTCAGTGTTTCCATTTCTGAACTAGAAATGCCAATAGTCCTCAATCCCATAGCATTGTAGCAAGGACTAAGTGAGTGAATGCTTGGAAGGTAATTAGAACAGGGTCTGGGAGATGACAAGAGCCAGCGAGCTGCTGCAGTCTAGCCTTCCAGAGGCCTTCAGCTGGCACCTGTGCAGCTCTGGCCATCCTTGTTCCACGCAGCTGCACTTGTGAGGGACTGCAATGAAACAGCACTGCCCATCGCACTCACCTCTGCTGGGGACACCTTATGGTTAGTGTCATTTTGGGAGATGTGGTCCTCTCCCCCCACCCCACCCTGGTGGGCACCCATGTGCTGCTTAGATGAGATGCTCATCCTCAGAACCCGAGTTAGAATCTGGGGAGATATGGATGGGCTCTGGACTCTTCTAGGTTGCAGCGGAGGATGGGGGTGGCATGCTGCTTCTGAGGGACAGAGTACAAGGAAGTATAGCCAAAACCACAGGAAGGCAGCCCTAGGCAGAAGCTCGGGTGGACAGGAGCAAAGGGGGCTTTGTGAACAAACCCCCCAGAAAGCAGTTGTATCTATTGCATGCTCTGTTCTCTTGGTTTCTTATGATCCTCCAAAAGGCGGGGGACAGCATTCTTGCTATGGAAATTTTAAAAATGTGCCGAAGAAGGGGTCAAATTAGCACCTTCACTAGAATACAGAGCAGACGTTTTACATACAGGGATGGACGGCTGTGCTAGATAATCGGGCTGAGCCTGACTGCAGTGCCCAGGCCTAGACCCCAAAGGTCCTATTGTAGGTTTTCCATTTTGGACCAGTTTTTCCCAGGAGTAATCTCTCTCCCACCCCACCTGTCCTTCCCTGGAGGAGATAAGGGGCCTCAGCTAGCTGCAGCAGAAAAAGAGGATATATGGGGCCCGGTGTGGTGGCCTAGCGGCTGAAGTCCTCCCCAGGATCCCATATGGGCGCCGGTTCTTATCCCAGCAGCTCCATTTCCCATTCAGCCTGTGGCCTGGGAAAGCAGTCCAGGATGGCCCAAAGTCCTGGGACCCTGTACCTGCATGGGAGACCCAGAAGAGCTCCTGGCTTCGGATTGGCGCAACACCAGCCATTGTGGTCACTTGGGGAGTGAATCATTGGATGGAAGATCTTCCTCTGTCTCTCCTCTCTGTATATCTGACTTGGCAATGAAAATATATAAATCTAAAAAAATAAGAAAGAAAAAGAGGATGTGGGTCTTCATATTTTAGTACCTCACACCTCATCTTCCCCATCTCATCTGCCACCACCCCAAGATAAACCTGGGGTCCTCATCCTCAGAACCCTGAGGTTCAGCATTCTGCTGCGTGTTCTTCCCATCCCACAAACATCTGCAGCCAGTATCAGCTTTAGTCCCAAGGATATAGACAAGAAGCAGGAGCTCTTCTTCCGACCAGTGAGGACCACAAGGGAAATCATAAGACAGATTGTGATCAAAGGGAATGTACCCAGGCAATGAGTGAATGAGGAGCAAATATCATTTCTTAGAAATTATTAATTATTTCCCACACTGTTTGAGTACTTAACATCTCATCAAATCCTCACTTGTAATCCCAAGTGGTGGGTTTTATTTCGTTATTGAGGTGAGAAGGCTTACTCTGCTGATGTTTCTCATGTTGAATCATCTACTTTTTAAATAATTTATTTCTATTTGAATGGCAGAAAGATAGAAAGCTACCATCTACTGGTTCCCTCCACCAAATGTTTGCAACAGCTGAAGCTGAGCCAGGCAGAAATCAGGAACCCATAATAGTCCAGGATCTCCCCCCTGCGGGCATCAAAGACTCAAGTACTTGTGCCATCACCTGTTGCCCTCCAGGGTGTGCATTCGCAGGAAGCTGGACTCAGAAGGAAAATCCTAAGGAACCCAGGCACTCTGGCCATGACAGACAGGCATCTCAAGCAGTCATAACCTCTGCTGATCCAGAGGCAAGTTTTCAAAATTTCATTCCCCAGATGGTTAGGGACAGCCAAGGACTCATTGTAGGAACAGTGAACACCAAGACCAAATCACAGCATTGCAGAGCTGGGAATCAAGACAAGGTGATGGGATGGCCAGCCTCTTCGCAAAGGCAGCTGAGAGCAGGCACTCTGAGGGGCAGCATTGTGGCTTGGACGGTGGCAGCCAAAAGGCAAGTTGCGATGGGACCACATCTGGAGGTTCCTTGTGGCTTCAATAAGTAGCCTCAGACTGTCCCTGCAGGTCCCCATCCTGAGATGGCACGGATCAGGTGCCATGAAGCTGCAAAAACTCCAAGGAGAAAACCCGTGCAGGCAGTAAGTCAAGGGGGCATCCTGTGTGCTCATTTTAGGGAAACAGCTCTTTATTAGGGCTCTGCAAGTCACTGCCAACACCTCCTGGGTCTCCTTGGTTTAATGAATATATATATATATATATTTTTTTTTTTTCTCTACTTGGTTGCTGGTTGTTTAAACTGTTCCTGGTAACTACAAGGTTGTAACCGGATCCACTGTCTTAATTGTCCTAGACTGCACACCAAGTACTCACAGACCTCGGTTATACTTGCACAAATTCTTGCAGAAACTGGGGTAGAGCAACGGTTTTGTCCCCCCTCCCCCAAATTTCCGTTTATGCTTTGTGTTTTGTGGGTGCTCGGCTCACACTTACTGAGTACAGAAAAGGCCGTTTCAGGTCCGGCTGGAGTGAGGGGGTGGCGGGGAGTTGAAAAGAAAGCGAGAGCGAAACAGCAAGGGAGAGCGAGAATAAAGTTACTTCAGAGCCCAAAACACAAGAAAGTGAGTGGCGAGTGGGCGTGGAGGACCGGGGTGGAGACGGGTCGCTAAAGCTGGCGCTTACCCGAGGAAGGTGAGGAACCGCGGCTCGGTGGCCAGGTTGGCGTCGATGGTGAAGGACAGGAATGCGGGACTCACTCGGTGCTGCGGGCGCTCGGTGGAGAAGACCAGCTCCACGGTGTCCTCCGCCTGCGAGAGCAGACACAGCGGCCCCAAGAGCAGCAGCAGCAGAGGCGGCAGCGGCAGGAGCATCTTGGGCTCACCTGGTGGCCGCCGAGTCCGGGCTGGATCCGGAGCAGTGCGGCGCACTTCCTCGCGCCGGGCGGCAGCTCCCGGCTCTCCCGTCCCGCCCGTCCCGCCCTGGCGCCCGCCTCCTCCCGGGTCCTCCCAGCCCGGCCCGCAACCCTCCCACTCTCCGCGCTTTGCTCCGCGCCCCGCCTCCGCCGCTCGCTCCCACTTCCTTGCACGTTTTGCCCCCTCGGTGGCTGCCACATCCACTAGGCGAAATCACTCACGCTCAATGCCTGGGCGTGGTGGTGGCCGGGATCCAAGGATCATTTCCTCCAGCAGGTACCTGTCCAGGAAGCCTAGGTGCACCTCTGGCCCTCCTCCCAAAGTGTTTATGCATATTTGCTTATCACTGGAGCACGCCCAGATCCTAACAAACTCCCTGAGTTCTTCCGCCTAGGGCGCAGAAAAACACAAAACAAAACAAAACAAAACAAACAAAAAAAACTCACCTGTGTCACTGTTATATTTCTTTCCCAGTAAACGTGTGACCTCCGTCTCGGCCAAACTGCAGCTAGCAAAATGTCAAAGGGACCATATTGTGTTTGACAAACTTGCAGTGTGAGGCGCTCCCAGTCTGTGCTATGTCTGTTGAGTCCCATTCAAGTGCGCCAATCTCCCTTTCCACGTGCTTCTCCCGAGGGGTGGATCAGCTTGCCGTTTCCTTGTATGCTCCGGTGCCTACATGCCCAGAGCAAGCGCCGCGCACCTGGTACTTACTGTGTGCTCTATTTTGCTCTGTCTGTATCTCTCATTTTCACAACCTGTCAGGTGCAGATTTTCCTCATTTTACCCACAAGGACAGAAACTCCGAGATTTGCGAAATTTGACCAAGCACCAACACTGACATATGAATGTTGTTACACAATCTCAGCTGACAGCAGTTTGTCCTCACTGAAATCTAGCTTCCTCAAGGAAGTTTTCTAGAAGTTTCCAGGCATGAAAAGTCCCCCAGGATGGTCTCCGAGAGCATTTTATTCGTTGGAACTCACCGCGTTGCTCAGTACGATGTAGCTCAGCTCACGGAGAGAGGGAGTTTGTCTAGTGAGCCCCACCAGCTTCCGTGCACACGTGGCCCCACAACTATTTGCTGAGCAAGAAACAAAGCTAATTTTATCACTTCCTTTACATCTTCAGTAAAGCAACAAACACTGTTTTGAAAGGTTTGTCCAATTTTTGTAGTTGTTTTGTTTTTGTTTGTTTGTTTTTTGAAGACAGAGCTTCCATCTGCTGGTTCACTTATTGCCCAAATGGCTGCAATGGTCAGAGTGGAGCCAATCTGAAGCCAGGAGCCAGGAGCTTCCTCCAGGTCTCCCAACTTAAGTGCAGGGGTCCAAGGACTTTGGTTCATAAGCAGGGAACTGGATCGGAAATGGAGCAGCTGGGACTGGAACTGATGCCTATTTAGGATGCTGACACTGCAGGGAGAGGATTAGCTTGCTATGTCACTGTGCTAGCCCTTATTCATTTTTAAATATTTATCGATCTATTTGAAAGGAGATGTATATAATATATAGATATTGATACAGACATGGAGAAAGATGAGAGATCTGCTATCTGCTGGTTCACTCTCCCAGATGGCTGCACGGCCATGACTGACCCAGGTAGAGATAGGCGCCAGAGCCAGGAACTCCATTTGGGACTCCACTTGTGTGATAGGAACACAAGCACTTGGACTACCATTCACTGCTCTCCCGTGTGCATTTCCAAGAAACTGGATCAGAAGCAGGGCAGCCAGGACTGGACTGGTATTCTGATATAGGATGCCAATCTCCCAGATAGAGGCTTAACCCATCACACCACACCCTAGCCATAGATTTGCCTATTCTTAAGCTCAATTAGCTAATCCTCCACCTACAAGCACCAGAATTCCATATCGGTGCTGGTTTGTGTCCTGGATGCTGTACTTTCCATTCAGCTCCCTGCCTGTGGCCTAGGAAAAGGAATGGAGGATGACCCAAAGCCTTGGGATCCTTCACCCATGTGGGAGAACTGGAAGAAACTCTTAGTTCCTAGCTTCAGATTGGCTTAGTTTCATCTGTTATGGCAATTTGGGAAGGGAATCAGCGGGTGCAAGATCTTTCTGCATCTCTGCTTCTCTCTGTAAATCTGCCATATCTATCTATACACACACACACTATATGGTGAACTTTACAAACTGAAATTGGTTCATTTTCTACATTTAGAGTATAGGAAGAAAAATTCATAGACAAGAGGAGAATTATCTTTATGTATTTGCACAGGTGTATATCTTCATATAGTCTATCAAGAGAGTATACAGTCTTTCTCTAACAGATGTAGAGACGAACAGTAGTTATACAAACTGGCCGCTGTCTGCTTGGGTTGTGTAGCAACATTGAGGGTTTTCTCCCTTTGCCATGACATCGATCCTACATTCCAACCCCATGTGTCTGCCTCCTGTTATTGTGGAGCCACAGTCACACTAACTTCTTTGGAATGTTTGGATGATATTTAAAAACTGTAAGTTTTCTGTGTTACGAAGCCTCGTGACACCCGGTGGTGTAGGCCAGTACAATCTCTGTGCAGGTTACTAATATTGAAACTGGCAAAACACAAATGAGGAAACAAGGACAAGGAAGCTGCTCACGGGATGAACAGCATGGTGAAGACTGACATCAATCAGGTCAAATCTGGCTCCTGGCTCTAACTTGGTTTAATCTAATGCCTGAGAGAAGAGGACAATGTGTGTACATACGAAGAAGGAATACATGGAAACAGGAATAGAAATAAAGTACCATTTCAGAGACACTTTGTAAGACACCTTTTTAAAAAGACTTTGTTTTTATTTGAAAGCCAGTGTTACAGAGAGGATAGAGAGATAGCTTCCATTTGCTAGTTTACTCCCCAAGTGGCTACAACAGCCATAGCTAGACTGATCTGAAGCCAGGAGCCTGGAGAGTTTTGATCTCGCATGTGGGAACATGGTCCCAGGGTCTTGGGCCATGCTCTGCTGCTTTCCCAGGCCACAAACAGGGAGCTGGATGGGAAGTAGAGCAGCTGGGACATGAACAAATGCACATATGGAATCCCAGTGTGTGGAAGGTGAGAATTTTAGCCACCGAGCCACTAGGTCAGGCCCTTCACAAAAACTTTATCAGAGTAGTTTTAGACTCAGATTTCAGATTCCAGGTGTGGGGTGTTTCCACAATATCACCCAGATTTAGTGACTCATAAATTATATGATAGAACTATTAAGAGACAAAAACATCAGATGAACTAGGGCAGTCCATGTGACTCACTAAATAATTATAATGCAGTAAGTTTCCATGTGGCCTTTGGATTAATTTTTCATAGCAACTTTGAGCTTTTAGGAATTCACACTAGGCTTAAACAGTCAACAACTTTAAGCACGTGGAAGCTCATGGGTTGGTTACAGAGTGTTTGCAGAAAATAAGGATCTTTTCATGTGTCTGTCTAGAAATTGAGATTTTTCTAGCATAGAAATCTCTTACTGAGGACAAACTTTTAGACATTGATGTTTGGGCCCAGTGCCGTGGCCTAGCGGCTAAAGTCCTTGCCTTGAACACACCAGGATCCCATATGGGCGCCAGTTCTAATCCCGGCAGCTCCACTTCCCATCCAGCTCCCTGCTTGTGGCCTGGGAAAGCAGTCCAGGATGACCCAAAGCCTTGGAACCCTGCACCCGCGTGGGAGACCTGGAAGAGGTTCCTGGTTCCTGGCTTCGGATCGGTGCAGAACTGGCTGCTGTGCTCACTTGGGCAATGAATCATCGGATGGAAGATCTTCCTCTCTATCTCTCCTCCTCTCTGTATATCTGACTTTGTAATAAAAATATATAAACCTTGGGCCCGGCGTGGTGGTGCAAGTGGTTAAGATCCTCGCCTTGCACGCCCAGGATCCCATATGGGCGCCGATTCTAGTCCCGGCAGCCCCACTTCCCTTCCAGCTCCCTGCCTGTGGCCTGGGAAAGCAGTCGAGGATGGCCCAAAACTTTGGGACCCTGCACCCGCATGGGAGACCTGGAAGATGCTCCTGGCTTCAGATTGGCATAGCATCGGCCGTTGCGCTCACTTGGGGAGTGAATCATCGGACGGAAGAGCTTCCTCTCTGTCTCTCCTCTCTGTATATCCTCCTTTCCAATAAAAAATAATAAAAAATAAATCTTTAAAAATAAATAAATAAATAAATAAACCTTAAAAAAAAGACATTGATGTTTAGCTCCAAATATATAAACAATCATGTGCTGTGTTGTTTTGGGTCATTAAATTTTGGCTTAATTGCTTGGTGATCAAACTAACTCCAAAACAAGGAGACGCTGAAAGTCTTTGCTAGGTGCTGAAAGGAAGGTAATATCCCTTGAGAGCATAGTCACCAGTTGTTCACATGTTTGTTGAAATCCTGCTGTGAGCCAAGCACTAAGCTAGGCAACAAGTAAGCAGTAAATATGAGTGGTTTCTGAACTCGAAAGTTTTACTGAGGAGAGGCTAATTGTCTTCAATCACAGAAAAGTAAAATTGCAAGTGTAGAAAGAATAGCCAAGATAATCTTGGAGTTTTACAAATGTATGACAAAGAATCTAAACTTGGGATGCAGGGAAGGAGGGCCCAGCTGAGAACTACAGAAAGGCAAGGGGAATTACTCAAGGCCAAGGGGGGGGGTGGCGTGTGCTAATGTCCTGGGGTATAAGGGAACACAGGGTCTTTGAATCAGACAGAGCTGCGGGGACAGTTGGGGACACAGGAACAAAGATGGCAGAGACTTGCAGTCTCCATGGAGCACTAGGAACCCATGAAAACAATATCAAGCCTCTGATGAGACATGTGATATGATCAGACTAATATATTTAGAAATTAAATTGTGAGTGTTTTGTTTCTTCCATGGCATAGATGCGTATGATTAAGATGTGAAAGCATATTCCTCTATAGATCTGGAGTTTCTAACTCTCTTTTACTAAGTTTATGCGCATGTGTGAGAGTTTGTCATAAGTCCATAGAGAATGAAATTAAAAGAAAAAATTTTATGGGGTGGAAAAAAATGAAATCTGTGGATACAAGTAGTCTACAAAAAGTCCATTTAAATACATATGAAAAAATCCCTGCATATGCTTCTCTCCATGAACTTTTTGAAGTATTCATACACATACTGTAGATAGTTGCAGCTATCTGTGTCTGCGGGGAGGTGGGCACCAGGAACTGGATAGCACGCTACAGCATGTCAGAGAAAGCAGGAAGTGTTCTGAGAATAAGAACTCTTAAGTGCCAGCAGCCACAAAATTATTAGACTTGAAGCTGGGGATTATTCAAAAGTCCCCGCAGATGAAGAGTTGACTGCTAAATTCCAAGTCATCTGTTTCTGGAATGATGACGGGCCATGACAATAGTGTTAATGCAAAAAACACAACAAAAACAAAACAAAACAAAAAAACAAGATGAACTGAGTGGGGTATTCCTTCTTGTCATTGTTATGAACATAGAAGGAAGAAGTCGAACAAGTACATTCCTGGAATAAGGAAGTGGTTGGGGTAGGAGGGTTGGGAGCAGGCAAGCTGTGCTGGTGTCATATGGAAGCTGGACTTCCTTCTACATTGCTAACTGCTGGCCATGTACCAGTTAGCTTCGGACTCTCTCAAAAAGTAAATGTTTTGAAGTGAGAAAATGCTGTTTCCTGTGTGGGAGCTCCAATTCTGGAGTTAACAAGGAAGGCCGCCTTGTGTAGGACACGTTCACTGTGGTGGAGCTGGGTGAGTGTGATGAATTACTGTAAGCCTCCAGATTCGGCCACAATGAATGGTGGTGTGATCCATGAACCGAATAAGCAGATGCTTCTTCAGCTTTTGTTGAACAGCTGGTTGAGACAATTATTTGAAAATTCTGGGTTTTTTTTTTTTTTTTTTTTTTGGAAAGGCAGATACATAGAGAGGAGGAGAGACAGAGAGGAAGATCTTCCATCTGCTGTTCACTCCCCAAGCAGCCGCAACGGCTGGAGCTGAGCCAATCTGAAGCCAGGAGCCTCTCCCGAGTTTCCCACATGGGTGCAGGGTCCCAACACCTTGGGCCATCCTCAACTGCTTTCCCAGGCCACAAGCAGGGAGCTGGATGGGAAGTGGAGCCGCTGGGATTAGAACCGGTGCCATATGGGATCTCGGTGTGTTCAAGGCAAGGACTTTAACCACAACACTATCACACCGGGCACTAATTGAAAATTCTATTAGGCTTCTCGTCATTTTATAAAATGAAGAGCAAGTGGGGAAATACTGCCAATAGGAACATGGGTCTCATTAACTTAAGTCATTTGTAATCTTTAGTTGTGCTCATAGACAGAAATCATTTTTAGAGACACTTATGAAAGTGTCGGCAGGTAAACTGATAAGAAGTTCAGGATGTGTTTCACAATAATCTTAGAGAGAGGAGAGACATTGGTGTGAGTGACACAGTTTCAGCAGGAGTGAACAGCTGTGGGGGTTGTATGATGGGTACGTGATGGTAACAGCCGATTTTATTTTCTCGGGATGGGCAGCAATGTTCACCATGCCACATGTTCTTCTGGAAGTTGACCTTTCCATCTGCCACCTAGAAAGGTGGAGACCTGTATCTTTTCCCCTTGCATATTTGGCAGATTACATTGCTTTAATCTACAAAGGACAACACAAAGGACACAATGTGACTTCTAAGTCCAGAAAAGGAAAGGTCATGCAACTCCAACTTGACTTTCTTGGTATTCTTGTTCTTCCAGGGCTCCTCTGGGAATCTGACTGCTGTAGGTGAAGACCCAGTCAGATGCAGAGGTCTTGTATCGAGGCTCCAATCCACAGTTCCCACCATGTCCAGCCCTTGTCTCACCCCAGCACAAGAGCCAGCTGTGCGACTGAAGAGACCTCCGAGCTAGTCTACTCCGGCTCATTCACACCACACTGTCCAGTGCAGTCTTCCCTGTTCGAACTCCAGATGCTGTTGAACAGAAACAAGCCAAACCCATTAGGCACTTTCCAAACACTTGCCCTTTGAACCCATATACTTATCGGCACTAGATGGACATCCAAAGGCTTATCTTGGCCACTCCAGGGAAAGTCTCAAACCTTGCCTTGGCTTGGATATCTAGACCAAAAATCTACCTATAGGCCCCATAAGGTTCAATTTATAATTCTTTAAATTTTATGTATTTTTTGCTTATTATTACTTAAAAATTTATTTGAAAGGCAGAGAAAAGTAAAGATATACATACAGAGAAATCTTCCATTTTCTGGTTCACTCCCCCAAATACCCACAATAGCTTAGACTGGACCAGGCTGAAACCAGGAATTAGAAACTTCTTGTGAGTGGCCCACGTGTATGGCACAGACTCAGACACTTGAGCCACCGTTGGCTGCCTTCTAGGATGTGCAATTGACAGGGTATTGCAATCAG